AAAACAAACAAGTTTCTAATGATTTAGAACCTTCTAGCAAATATAAAAAAAGAAGAAGTTAAATATATCTGCAGAAATATATAAAATACACAAGTGGTTAAAATTAAGAAAACAAGATTAAGATATTGACAATAATACAGTTTGCATTTTTTTTAAAAAAAGCTATATAATCATTGTTATTTGGTAATAACAATCTAATACAAATAATATGAAGTTATGAGGACTATATACAGAAAGAGAATTAAGAATAACATACTGCTAAACTAATAGGTCTAGCAAGAAAAGCTTTAAAGATTTTGCTGCTAAGATGCTTTAGAAGCAAGAGAGCTAAAGTAATATATATTTCTTCAAATAGAAATAAAAATCTAAAAAGTATAGCAACAATCACTTTTGCAAATAACATAGATCTAAAGAGAGCTATGAGCAAACTGATAAAATATTACAATTATATAAAGTTAGAAAGGATAAGTGAGAGGCAGACACAGTTTGTCTAGTGCTTCTAAAAGTAGCCACAATTGAAAACACAAACATGGATAAGAAGATTATAGAATTTCTATAAAATAAAAGAGAAACATTTAAAAAAAAATTTAAAACAGTTTTCTTATTTAATAAAAATTAAAAGCAAGAAAAAAAAAGAAAAAGAAGATAATATAATATTAGAGAATGATTAAGTTAAAGAAAAGTAAAGGCAAAGAGTCAAAAAAAAACTTAAAATAGTTTGTTATAATATTAATAAACATAAGATAAAAGGTTAAAAGTTAGAAATCTAGCTAAGTAGTTGAAAAAAGAAAAAATAACAATTCTAAGTATAGTAAAGATAAATATAGCAGAAAAGAAAGAAAAGTTTCTAATATACAGTTTAAGAATTTTGAACTAGTACAACATAAGATAAAAAAAAAGAATCAGATATAAAAATACTAATAAATAAAAAATGAAAAAGCATATAGAAGTTATAAAAAAAAAATAGTGAATATATAATAAAAGTACAAATATATTTCAAATAATTAGAGTGAATAAAAATAAAAATATATATATTACCAAATAATAAATCTGTTAGCAAGAACATATAGCAAAAAGTGATAGAATTAGTTTTAAAGAAGAAAAAGCATATATGGATAATCATATTTGAAGATTTTAACTACACAATAGACAACATATTAAACAGACAACATTTACAAACAACAAGCTATAAAAAATTACTAATATTTAGCTAATTTAAAAAACAAGAGTTTACAGATATGTACAAAAGCCTCTATCTAACAAAAAAAGCATACATATAATTAAACAAAAATACTACAACAAGAATAGACTATATATGAATATTAAAAATGCTTGTCTTAAGTCTACAGAAAGCAGAAATTAAAGAACCAGAAAGACTAACAGATAGTAATCACAAGATAATAACTGCAGAAATATAGATAGAACATGCAATAGCAAATAACAACAAGACAGAAATCAAGTATAAAAACTAAACAAATACAGTATACTTATATAATAAAGTAAAGCAAGGAACTAGAAAGAGTATGCAACAGAACTACAAAGACAGCTAGAATAGAAAAAAGTAATAAAACAACTACTATAAGATAATTTTAATACTAATTGCAACATAAATACAATAAGAGATATATGGAAAGCAATAAAAGGTGCTATACTTGAAGCAGCAAACAAACATATTCTAAAAAAAAAGTTTTTAATACAAAGATAAACAAAAGATAAAGTTAGAAGAAACAACAACAACATAAGTATATTGTAGAGTTGCAACAAATAATCAAGAAGTCAAAAACAAAAAAGAATCAAGAGGCAGAAGCAAACAAAAGAAAAGAAATAAACAGTAAACTTAAAGCAATAAGAAGAAAAATAAAAGTAATATTACTAAAACTATATAAATGATGATTAAAGGCCTAGATAGAAGATATTAAAGGCTGGCAAAAAATATTTAAAAAAAAAATAATAATAATAAGAGCATCTACAAAGAAACAGATTCAAAAAAATACAAACAAAAGATTCAAAATAATTAAAACAGATCAAGGCAAAATAATTATAAGTCTATTTAATAGACTATATAAGAAAATAATTATTAACAAATTCATAATACAAGAGAAAAAAAAAAAAGAACTAATAATAAAGCCAAATAAAGTTAAAATAGGCTTAGAAAAACATTATATAAATCAGTTTAGAAAAAAGCAAATCAAATTAAAAGAAATGTTAGAAGAATAAAAAAAGATATACAAGTTAAGAAGTTGAATTAATGACTCATAGTATTATAAGTTAGAAAAGAAAATAGATAAGAATAAATGAAATAAAATATTAAGAGAATTCAAAACAAGCACAGCTTTAAAAATATCTAGTATAGCTATATATTAATCAAATGTACAAATAAAAAGATGTAAAAAATCTTAGAATGTTTGCAGAACTTATATTAAAAAAGGTAGAAATACGAAAATATTACAAATAAATTCAATTTCAAAAAATATTAAATAGAACTATAGTCTTAATAATATAAAATCAATTGCATTAATTGAAACTTTTAAAAAAGTGGTTACAAAAGTAATAACAAAAAGACTAGCCAAAGTATTTATAAAGAGAAAAATACTTAAAGAGCCAAACTATATAAATCTGCTAGACAACTCAACAGAACAATCAATATATCTTAAATATTATAATAAAAGAAGTTTAAAAGAAAAACAAAGAAGAATAGATATTGTTACAAAATATAAAAAAAGCATTTAACTTAGTTTCATTAGAAGGCCTAAAGTGGGCACTCAAAAAAGTTAGAAAATGAGAAAATATATCATAAACCTTTTCTCTAAAATACAATTAAAAGTTATTACAACATATAGTTTAACAAAAGAAATAACAGCAGAAGATGAAATAAATCAAGATAAGGTAATTTTATTTCTAATATGACAGCTCTTTTATAACTTATTACTAAAAAGGATTCAAGAAAATAAAATACTTAGCTATACAGTAGAACAGAAAATAGAAGAAAAAACACATAGCAATGCTATTACAAGTTACAGACAAACTACAATAGTATATGCAAATAACATTATATGAATTACAAATAGCAAAGAACAACTATCAAGAATTCTAGAAATTGCAAAAGAATTTTTTAAAGCCAATAATATTAAAATAAATAGATCCAAGTTAAAACTTATAGTAATAAATATTAAACATAAAAAAGAAGAAAGAAAGATTACCTTTGAACAAGTAAAATAAAAAAAAGAACCAAAAAACAGAATTGTAGGATCATTAAAAATTTGGCTAAATAATAAAATAAAGAAGTCATTAGTTAAAAAAAAAGTAAAAGAAATAGTTAGTCAAACAGTCAAAAATTTTAGATACAAAAAAATAATAATAAGCCAAATTGTGTATATAAACAATATAATAATTATTCTGAAATTAGAATACCTATTACAATTAATAAAAATGACAAAAAAAATGTTCAACAAAATACATTAATCTCTAATATGCTTGGCAAAACACAAATGCAATATAATGCATATAGCAAATAATTGTATAATAAAATATAAAAATCTTAGCAACTGCAAGTTACTAAAACAAGAGATAATAGCAAAACAAATAAGCAGCATATTCTTTAGACTAAACAAAAAGAATAGTATAAGTAAATTAGCAAAACTTAAAATAACTTAAGGTTGTTAAACTGCAGACTTAACAAAAAATATATAGAACACAAAAACAGAGTTAGAAGAAAAGAAATATTAAAAGAACAATCTAGCTTGTTAAAAACAAAAAAAATAGATATAAGCATTAGAGCAGAAAAATACTTATAGAAAGTATATAAACACAAAAACAAGATAAGAAACATAATAGATGCAAAAATATAAAAATCAGTAACAAAATAAATAGCTAAGAATTAATCTATTTGAATTAGCTAATAAATGCAAAAGGCAAAGAGCTGATCATATAAAAACAGCCTAAAAGTCTTTAAAGCAGATTATATAAAAAAAAAATCAAAATAATTTAGTAAAATTAAGAAAAAGATGCTAATAATATAAGCAAACAAAGAAGTATATAATTAATACAAAGTAAACAATTACAATATACAAGCACTAAAGATTATATAAACAAAGATGTTAAAAGACAAAAAAAAAAAACCGAATCATATACAGGCTAAAGAATAATTAACAACTAGACAAAGTAGCTAAGAAAAAATAAAAAAAAGTTTTAATTGAATACTGGTTAATATACAAGAAAAAAAGAAAACATTTACAAAAATAAGCAAATACAAAGGCTATAAAAACATACAAATACAGATAACAGATAGATATGAAAGGTGGATACAACAAGATTATATAATATAAAAGCCATTCTAGAATTAATAATAGAAAAGAACAACAACAAAATTAATATAATAATAAACTAACTAAAAAAAAAACAGAACAATAAAGGGATAGTGAAATAAGAAAAGAGAATTAGTTAAACTTAAACAAATAGAAAAATTAGAAATAAAAATAATAAGAAAACAAGAATTAGACAATATGCTTATAGACTAACTAATAGAAATTATAACAAAAAAACAAAGAAAAAAACAAAAATTGATCTTTAGTATAAGTAGACAAATATGGGGACTAGTAAACAAAAACACGGCTTATGACTTTTTTTGCAAAAACGTGTTTACTATAATATTATATAAACATTCTGCTATATAATTTGATATTTAAAAATATTGATTTATATAATAAATTATTTGCTGATGCTTATTTTTTTAAATATCATGCATTTTTTACAAGCCATCTAAAAATAGATTTTTAAAAAATAACCTGTTATAAATACAAGTTATGATCTGGTTATAGATTATAAATAAACATCTATAGCATATACATATGTAGACTTTACTGATAATACAGAAAAATGTATTGTGTAAATCTGTTTTCATGTTATAGGTTACAAATACTTTATTATTTAAATATATTTATTTTTTAAATCAGTTTATTAATTTTTTGAAGCCATTTTTTAGTAGTTTTCTGATAATTCTATTAGAAAGAGGTTGAAAAGTTCTTTTCAGCATTTTGTATTGTTTTCTGGTAGTTCTCTTTGGCATTTTGTGTTGTTTTCTGGTAGTTCTCTTTGACATCTTGGAGTTGTTCTGTTCCTTTTAAATGTTTTAAAGCTGTTCGCTAGTAGGTTTCTTAGGCATTTAAAGGTAGTTTTCTTTGCCATTTTGAAGCTGTTTTCTAATAGTTTTTTTTATTAAGAAACCTACTTTGCTTCAGCTTTAGCTTATAATTAGTTTCTTCATTGGGCTTAGAGCTGTTCTGTTCTTTGATAATTTTCTTCGTTGAGTTTGGAGTTGTTTTCTGGTAATTTTCTTCACAGGTAAGAAGCAAATTTTTCTGAAAAATTTTTTACTAGGTTTGGAGCTGTTATCTGATAGCTTTCTACTAAGAAACCACTCTAATTTGGCTTCAGCTTCTATTTTCTTCATCAGGTTTGAAGATTCTTTTGTAATTTTCTTCATCAGATTTGGAGCTTATCTTTTGTGATTTTTTTTGTCAGGTTTGGAGCTGTTCTTTAATAACTTTCTTCACTCTGTTCTCTAGTAATTTTCTACTATGAAATATACTATGATTCAGTTTAGTTTCTAGCTTGTTCACCAGGTTTGAAGCTGTTCTTTAGTAATTTTCTTTGCCAGATTTGGAGCTGTTCTTTGGTAGGTTTCTAATCTTTAATAATTTTTTTTTACCAGGTTTGAGAATTTTACTTTATAATTTTCTGTGCCAGGTTAGGAGCTTTTCTTTCATAATTTTTTTTGGAGCTGTTCTCTAATAGTTTTCTATCATAAACTTACTCAAATTCAGTTTATTTTCTAGTTTTTTTATCAGGTTTGGAGCTTTTTCTGGTAATTCCTTTGCCAGATTTGAAGTTGTTCTTTGATAATTTTCTTCAATGAGTTTGAAGCTTTCTTTTGGTAATTTTCTTTAGTAAGCTTGGAGTTGTGACTAGGGATAGGTCTGTTATGGTTATAACCATAATTGATATTAGTCAAAAGGTTTGTAGTTAACTGGCTAAAATCCTAACCAATACTATTTTAGCAATGTTAATTGATTCATTACAATGGTTTTATTTATATTATACAATAATAAGCAATTTAAAAAATAATAAGTTTAAATTATTCTTTTTTGGTGTTAATCATGTGTAGAGGTGAGTGCAATGCCATAATTAGTTGTAATTATAATGAATTATGGCATAATTTGTTGTAATTCATTATAATTACAATTAATTACAACATAGTGCTTATATGCTCTAATATTTATAAATAAAATAATTTATTTTAACTAAGATAATACATATTTTGTATTATGGTATCCTGTTTTATCTTATGTTTCAATTTATTTTCATGTTGAATTCAATAAATTAGATAACTATTAATTTATCAATAACACAGCTACAGTAATAATCATCATACTGAACTTTCTCAGCATAACCATCAAAAAAATCTGGACATGTCATCTTTGTGGCCTACATTGTTGACTGATATATTTGAATTTACTATCAGCTATATAATATATACATAATTGTTATTGTTATTATTTTTTTTTTGTGCTTAACAAAATTGATAATAATAATACTAAGACTAATTCTGATTAAATATGCATATAGATCTGATTAAACTTGGATGAATAGAAAGTTTTGTTGCAAATCTAGCTAATAACTGAACAGTTCTGACTAGTTATTGGGCTAGTCATTTGACTGATTATATAACTAATTATATGATCACCTAAATGATTGCAGTTGGTTAGTTATGAGTTAATGACTAGCAATAAATAACTGATAACTAATCACAACTGACTGAAACCACTCTTAGTTATAACTTGGTAATTTCTTTTGACAAATTTAAAGCTATGTGTTTGAAGCTATTCTTTAGTAATTGTTGTTTAAAAAATTTGAATTTGTTTTTAATAGTTTTTTTTAATAATTTTAATGATTTTTTAGTGGTTTGAGTTGTTTTTTAATAGTTCTTTTTGAGATTTTGGTGTTGTTTTTGGTAGTTTTTTTAACATTTTAGTTTTGTTTTTTGATGATTTTTTTTAAAAGATGTTTAGAAGTTTTTATGTATATATTTTTTCTAAGTTTTTAAAGATATAATAAAAAATTTATTAAATTATATTTAAAATATATTTTAAATATATGTAATTAAATTTTTATTTGTTAATTACTAAGTATTTTTATATACTATATAGTAATATATTAATTTATAAAATAGAATAT